CCCCCCCCCCAAAAAAAAAAAGCAAAAAGCATCCTTTGGATTTCCACCCAATTCTGGCATTAATAGAAACATCTGCTTCATGTGAAATGTGTCACAGCCGTGATATACGCTCTCCAGTTTCACTTGCAGGTAAAAATAAAACATCTGCTATTGCAATCAAGTCTGCAGATACTGGTCCAAACAAGCTAAAGTTTAGGTACTTAAGGGAATTTAATTGAAACCTGCGGAGAAGTAGTTACAACTGCTCAGGGGGTTTAAGCATCTGGCAAGTAGGCTGCAGGAAGCATCACCAGGGCCTGAATTATCATTTTTTGCTATATTACAAACTCCCCTCTGAGCCTTGTAGATTCAACCTGTCCTTTTTTAAGGTAGGACATGCTCCAGGCTTGGCTCCAGGACAAGAAATGTGGAAGCTGATAACATCCTACCTCTGAAAGCCAGCTCTGGGTTTCCCATCGCCCCTTGGTCTCCCCAAGGAAGGCTCGTTCAGGTTGCAGCACAGAAACCCAGAGCTACCACTCAGAAAATGACTTTTTCGATAAAGCCAGGCAGCCAGTATGCCTGGTTGTCTCTCTTGGTCTGAGCAGGGAGCTTAAGATCACTGAAAACATTGACCCCGGTGTCCCTGGAAGGAACAGAGGAGCACTCTGCATACTGCTACACCTCACCTCTCCGTGAGTGAGAGATGAATGCTGCAGCCAGGGGGAAAGCAAGCTTTTCATCTCACTTGTTTAATGCAATCTCGCTTCAGCCACTCTAGTAACCTTTGTTGGAGGCAGTGGGGAGCAGTAACACGCTGATAGTGTGATCACAGGGCCTCTGTATGTTAATTGGAACTGATGGGCTTCAGCTGAGCTTCATTTAAGAATGCTTTAAAATATTAGCAACAAGGTGTGCACAGTACAACACTAAACAAGTCCCAGGGCTGGGGAGTCAAGGAGAGCCTTCATAATTGGTTGTGTGGATTGTGAGATGGATTCAAATCAGTTCTGTAATTGGAGATGTGGACTAAGAGACACTGACTCAGATCTCTGTCCCAGCTTTGCACAGCTGCTGAGAGCATAGCACTTCTCAAGCCTGATCCTTCCTTGGCTTCTTCCTCAATGCAAGTGGCCACCAAGGGCAGCCAAGGAAAGCTGTTCTGTGGGGCCAAATCAAACAACGGTTCTCTCAGCCCTGATCACTACAGTCAATATTGAGGGTCTGATGGAACTTCTTCATCCTTTCGTGAGAACCACAGTAGTGGTTTTGTCCCTGCACTGGGACAACAAGCATGTTTATAGGTCAAATGAAGGTGTCCAGGTCAACGTCGCTCCAGAAACCAGCAAAGCACAGGATGGGACCCCGGCCTGTCCTCTGTGCCTCAGCTTTCTTATATTGCTGCTGCTTCATTGAAGAGGCTGTAAAGGATTTGGGGGTTTTTACAAGCCAAGAAAAATGTAAGCTCCTGCACTTCATAGTGGAATAGGGTTTTTTTTCAGTGTATGTGAGTTGGTGTAAGAAGAAAAATGGTTTTTAGATGGCAACAGCACATAGCATGATTTTACTCCCTCTTTTTTGCAGACAACAGCTGTGATCTTGCATAGCTATAACAAAATATCTACAGCATATTAGAAGGGAGCGCAACAGAGAAAAGAAGCAGTGGGGAATGACAGAAACGAATTTGCCAGAATTATTATTCCACGACAGTATTTAAATAAAAAAAAAAATCACCCTAATTAATTTAGTTGTTCAGGGAGAGGGAGGAAATAAGGAAGATGGCACTGAAATAGTAAGAACAACATTAGTATGGGACACGGCCAACACTAACTTACTGTTGGCTTTGCTCCTCACGCAGCTTGCATACGCAGTGCTGGCAATGAGGGAGGATGAGCAGCCCTGCAGTGCTGGGGACGGCCTCCTCGGGGGCCACATCATCCAAAATGAGCCCCCCAGATCTCTGTGGTGTGGGGGGAGCCGCAGGAGGCCCTGGGTCACCCCGAAGGGCTATTGTTCTTAGGAGAATGACCAGTCACAGTGCAATCCTGTGGCATTTGAAAGCCAGCATGTGGCCAAATGGAAGGATGGGCAGTGGCCACATGCAGCCCAGGGTGAAGAAAAGCTGTGGCTGATGCTTGCTGCCCATGGAGCAAAACTTGAAGCCTGATGCCTCTCCATTATCCTTGGTTCCGGAAATGAGTCATCACCAGGAAGAGCAATCCTGAAGGTTCTGTGTTGAGAAATAAGAGAAATCCGTGGTGGTGCTCCCCCAGCTTTTAAGGCCCAAAGCAACTATCTGATCATCCACCCCAACCTCCAATTTAACACAGGCTCCTGAATGCCAAGCAGTGACTCTGTTGCCCAAACAAGCATTTTTATAGAGAGGAAACGTCTTTTAGAAAGACATGAGCTCTTCTCAGACTCCAAGAAAGAAACAAAGGAGTGCACCTTGAGGGCATGAGGGAGGATTTATGGTAACACACAGGAGAAAAAATCAAAGCGAAGACAAGGTAATAATTGAGGTTTTTACCTCCATTAGCAGGTCAAGGTGAACTCCCAGCCCCTCCACTGTCTCTGTCCTAGTTGCCAGCTGAAGGGGGGGGTTCACAAAGCCCTGGGCTTTATTGTGCAGCGGTTGTTTCACAGCCAGAGTGTAAAAACAGAGGTGTGTGCAGTGCAGGACGGCACACCTCCTCCATATCCACACCTGGTGGCTTATTCCTCTGCAAAACAGCCATGTACTGAAGTTAAAACGATACCAAGCAGACTGAAATCCAATTAAAGCAGATCCCTCAGGGCTGCACATCCAATTAGCAGAGCATCTTTAATTACACCCGTGGCGTTTCATCGACCTACGCAGAGAGGACCTTGAGCACAGAGCTGCTGTCTGCCTGGTGACCCATATCCATGAGGACTGCTGAAGATTTCTAGGCAGCAGTGACTGGTGGTGCTTTAGTACAAACCAGTGCTTGTTGTTTAAAAGCATGGAGAAACCAGGAACCAGAGCAGGCAGGTCTAGGGATACCCAGCTTGAGATTTAGTTAAACAGAGCCTCCTCCTAGCACCTTATTAAAGGCTGTTCTCCAATTCAAGAAAATAATATCTTTGTAGAGTTGCTCACCTTGCAGATGTTGCTCCCAACAGAGAAATTTCTCCTTAGCCAGCAGGACCGGGCAGTGGGAGGCTGGGCTTTGTTGCCAAGACGCTCCAGGAACCACAGCAGGCACCAGCCTGGTGCTTCCCAAGGAGGCCCTCTTTGCTGGGAGGCTGCAGTGGGAGTTGGCCAGCTGCAGCAGATCCCTCACTTGAGCTGGGTACCCTAATCCCGAGGGATTGCCTCATCTATCCTCTGCTAGCCACAGGAGCAAGGCAAAGGAAAAATAAAGAACACATTTTCAGCATTTTAATAGCAATTTTCTCTAACAGGTGATAGCTGGAAAGCAATTAAGTTGCAAGTGATTCAAAAGCGAACAGATTTTCACCCTCCTCAGGGCAGAGGGGTTTCCCTCTTGTGTGGACTGAATGTTCCCTGCTTCTAGGAACCTGGAGGCTGAAGCATCTGAGTTCACTTTGTTGAGAAAAGTGGTTTTTTTTTTTTTAAAAAAAGCATATATTTTCAAACCAAATCTTAAGAGATGCTAGAAACACGAGAATAACTGTGTGTGCCTCTCAGCTCTCTCTGACATCTCTGCGTGAAGTATGGGAATCCAGAATGCCTTTTCACCCTCATTCTTGAGCGTAACAGCAGCAGGCAGGCAGACCCAGCTGAGAGCCAGCAGTGCAGGCTCAGAGCCTTAGCTGCAAACCTGTCTAAGTCCGTAGTCAGGCTGCCCTGGATTGCAATGGGCTGCAGGACCTCATCTTGTTCCCTAATAATTCCTCACTAAAATCCTGTCAACAAGCACACAAAGCTGAGGGAGTCTCTTCTTTGTCAGCTGTGCACCAGCCT